GGGCCTCAGAGCACCCGCCAATGGGAATTCACGGCCTCACCGCCATGCTGCCTATTGGCAACCGCTAGGTTAATCTGAAGGGCGGGAGGAAGCCGAGTTGCCATGTTTACTATTGGCAAAGGAACACCTGTGGAATAGTAAAACCTCCAGCTGTGGCTTTTCCCCAGAAGTGTCTAGTACTCATCATCCCATTTATTGTTCTTTGAGAAATGGGCCTCTGGGTTTCCTTTTGACTCTAAGCTGCTTAAATCTGATTTCTTCTTTGTATTAGCTCAGGAGGCTAGAGAACCACAGATCAAATCACACACTATTTGATCAGAAAGAAGAGCTCCTTTTCATATTGTGGTAGGCAGTTAGTCATGAGCCGGCAGCCCTAAGAGAAAAGCGAAAGGCTCATCTAGCTCCGGGCGCCAGGAGGGCAAGGCAATTTGCCATCTTCCTTCCTTAAGGCCTGAGGGAAACACACAGGGATGATTCATAGATTTTTCTCTTATCAAAAAGACCTAAGCAAGCATTTTGGTCAATGCCTAATTCCCATTAGGGCGATGGACTAACTGGGCAGTCTAATTGGGGCAACCTGGCTCGCATAGAGCAAGCGCAATTAGTTGATCAAGTTCCTCATTCCTACCTGTGAGGAAGGTGCGCAGGTGCAAGAAAGACCATGAGGATTCAAATTTAAAAGGACACAGGCAGCGTAAGGGGCCTCCTACTAATGAATATTCATGACATGCATGACCTCTAGTAATAAAAATAATGGTTAACTAGTACCTAGCCTGGTTGCCACCTGGCAATCTGCCCGCCCAAGAACCGTTTTGGGTGTGCTTCCTTTCTGTCCTTTCCTTTCTTTCCTATTAAATCTTCTTTTCTACCTACTTCATTCGTGGTTGCAGTTTCATTTGGCGCCTAGGGACAGATCTCTAATTTTAGTGATCTGGACCCAAAGAACCAAGGACTTCACAACACAGCTCAACACTCTCCCATCTGTTAACAATATCTTTCCTAGTGGTCCCAGGATTCGACAGTGCAGCCGCCCGTGGATTCTGTGTCTGCACCAGCCCTCACCATGCCCGAGTGGTGCCCCAGATGCTACTCCCTGGTGCTTTCATAACAGAACCTCTTTAAAGTGAGCTGTTTAATATTTCTTTTCTTTTTTCTTTTTACCAAAGGGCATGGGCATTTGCCAGAGAAAGACAGAGACAGAAAGGGAGACAGCACCCCCAAGAAGGTGTGGTCATACCAGAATCCCTTCTGCCCTGTTTCTTCATCATGGTGAATCTGAGGTGTGCACATGCATGCCTGGCATGTTTCTCATGTCTCCTGGGTTGGAATTCAAGCCCGGAAATAAGTCTTGTGGGATCCAGCTGAGACAGAAATAAGGCTAGAAAATGGTAGCAGGCAAGGGGCTGGAGCACCTGCCTGTGTGGCTAGGTACATAAAAAGATTGATTGGGGCAGAAAATTCCTCATTGGAGGTAATGTAGGTAGGAGATTTCCCATGGGCATTTCTAGCTGCTATCCAACGAGATAACTCAGTGGGCCCAGCCACACCTGATGTAGCCAATGGGATGAAAGCAATCAGTGAGCCTAGCCAGTGATCAATTGGCACAACGCTGGTTAAAGGATTGTAATAGAAACCCTATGGGAAGCTATTCCCGGGGCCCTCGAGCCACTCTTTCTTGTGCTGGGTCCACGTTTACCTCTCAGAGTGTACTTTCACTATTGGTGTGCTTCGTTCGATTCTTTGAAACACCCAGAACCTGGATACAACACAACTGCCTTAACCATTAGGCCTCAGGGCCAGCCCACATTTTTAGTTTTTTGAAGTTTTTATTTATTCCATGAGTGAGAAAGACACAGAAAGAGAGGCAGAAAGCAACCCCAACAGGGCCTTGATACTGCAATCCTCCCTACGTTTCCACCAACCTAGATCATGGGTACATGCATGCCCGCCATACTCAAAAGAGGTCCAAAGGAAGTCTCTCCATGGGAAGCAGTCACCTTCTCATTTGCATCAGCTTTGAGGAACACTGTGTTCTACCACTTCGGCTCCATCTAACCCCTCTAACATTTTTTTTCAAGAATAAGAAATCAAGCGGCTCCATAGCCTAGTGGTTAAGAAAGCCAGATCCTGTGTGGGTCTAGTATGTGTTGTTGGAATTCAGCCCAGGCAGCTTAAAAAGCATGTTGAGTATGTGTGTGTGTCCCAAATCCTGACAGGGTGGAACAATGGAGGGGAAAGGACTGTGGTGGCTGTGTTCGCACTCTCCCTCCCTCTCTGTCTTTCTCTTTCTAGGGCTAGCTCATGTGCCCTCTAGCAATTAAAAAAAAATAAAATTAAAATAAGAAACAGTCCAAGAAAACAGGCCAACCTTGCATGGCAGGTCTATCTGGTAGAGAGGGCAAATGCACACGTAATTCAAAGGTTTTCCCTTGCACTTTCTCATGGAGCTAACTGAGTGCCCTGGGGTACCAGACAGTTTTAGGGATTTAACCATGGGTAGAGAGAAGGATGTCTCTGTGGCTTTATCTGACGCTCTAGTGTAATGGGAACTTTTCCTTCACTCCTTCTCCCCGTCTCCACTACCCTCTGCCTCCCCTGGCCGGCTACATGAATGCTAGAGCATTCACAACAAACTGAGTTTCAACCAACCTGGAGGAACTGGAGATGGTAACTCTCCATGCGCAGGGACTCTAAAGAGGATTAAATAAAATTACTCAAATCAGGCAGTGAATCGAGTCCACAGTTCCTGAAAACCCATTGGGCCAATTGTTCTATACATCTCCAAAAGGATATTTCTTTCGCCTAAGCGCCTGACCCTGGTTTTCCTGCCCACCTGGAGGAAGGTGCTGCAGCTGGGAAAGTGAGAAAACCGCCCATCTGTTGTGTCCAGCCATGGCCATAAGAGGGCGATGGCGTCCTTTGAGCCAGCACAACTCAGGCAGCCAGGGCACAAGGCCCCACTGACCGGCTGTGTTCTTGGACCAAATGGGTCAAAGCTTGACAGCAATTGCTTTCATCCCAGGAGGGACAGACATGACCCTCATCCTGCCTATCCTCTCAGCACTCGTATTCTGGGAGCCTGTCACAAGGTTGGCATTGTGGATACCTGTTTACGGAGGAGAATACTGAGCTCCAAGAAGGACTAGAATTCACGTACAAGATGGCGTCAAGGCCAGGGTTCCTTCCAACTGCACCTGCTCTATCCCCAAGCCTGCACCACAAACCGACATTTCCTGAGTGCTTTGCTAGTCCTTTGTGGAGCACTTTGCAAACATCATGTTACTTATTCCTCGCATTCAGTCGGCTGGTCTTGGGGGTAAAAATTGCTATTCCCGATGGTCGTTTGGGGCCACTAAGTCTCCAAAACAGACTTCCAGCTGGAACAAGAATCCAAGACACCAGAGCCAGCCTGGTAGCCTAGTGGTTAAGGATGCTGAATCACGCATGACCCACTGCTGTTTGGATCTTGGCCCCAGTGGCTTGAAAAAGATGCTAGGTGCATGTGCATGCAAGCCCCAAATCCCAGCAGAACGGAGGAACAGAAAGAAAGGTTGCAGCATGACCATGTCCCAACAGGGATGCTTTCTCCCTCTCCTTTTCTGTCTCTCTTTGGCAAGTGCACACACCTTTAAAAATAAAGAAAGAATTTAAGACTCCAGACTTCCCACCCAGAGCTTTTGTCTCTGCAATACAGTTGCCTCTTCACTGTCATTTAGAGGAACGGGTGCCTGGAAGGAGAGCTACATATCCCAGAGGGGTTCGTTAAAAATAGAGACCCCTGCAGCACAGATTAAGGCATTCAAGCTCTGCAAAGGTAGGGCTAGCAGACTGCGTGCGTGAGCGTGTGCGTGTGTGTGTGCGTGTACGTGTTTGCGTGTGCGTGTGTGTTTTGACTCCCTATGTGATTTGAACTGCCGCTCAGGTCCATCATTCACTGATCCTCCCCTTATCTGTGCGTCTTTGTCATGGCAATCAATGTCACCCCTTGCCAAGGCAAAGTAATAGCCTCCTAGCTTGTCTCCCTAATTCTGTTTGTCCCCCTAGTATCAGATGGCCATACGGCAGCCAAAGAGTGTCTTTAAACAGATCGGACTAAATCACTTCGCTGCTTAAAATACTTCTGGCAGCTTTCTTTTTCTTTTCTTTTCTTTTGATCACTAAGAATAAAATATAAACTCATCTGGGGCCAGCAGGTGGCTGGATCTCACATAGCTAACTCCACAGTTCGAATCCCAGAACTGTGACTTGAAAATCATGCTGGGCGCATGTATGTGTGTGCCCGAAATATCCAAAGAGGAGATTGGACAGGAGGGGATTGTGGCATGGCCATCCCCCTGGGAGATGATTCCTCACTCTCCCTCTCTCTGGTGAGCACATGTGCCCTGTAGCAAACAAACAAAACCCCAAGCTCATTACGGCAGCCCTGTGGGTCTCTAGCCTCCGCCTTCTGCTAACCCACCGCCATGCATCACTATACTGCAGACCACTGGCCTCGCCTCGGCCCGTGGACACCAGCTCCTCCCGCTCCAGGACTGATGTGCTTTCAATTTTGTCTGCATGGAATTCTCTTCTCCCTGGCCCTGTGTGGCTGACCTTTTCTCCTCACTCACACCTTGCTCAAATAGCACCTCCTTGGGACCAGCAGTTAGCATAATGCTATGTCATTGGACTCCCACGTAGGCAACCGAGGTTCGAGTCCTGGACCTGGTGGCTTAAACTCATGCCAGGCATGTGTACAAGCGTGCCCAGGATACTGAAAGGAGAATGGAGGAGAGGGGATTGCGGCGTGGCCATCCCCCCGGGGGGGTGACTTCTCGCTTTCTGTCTCTTTCTCTGGTGAGTGCATGTGCCCTATAGCAAAAACCTCTTAAAAGAAAAAAAAAATAGCACCTCCTCAGAGAAGTCCTCTCTGACCATCCTACCTGGAAGAA